TGAAGCACATAAATATGTGACTTCCAAAGTCTCTATGCAGGAAACTCACTGAGCCTCACTCTGACAGAGGTCACTGAACCCATGGCCTATGTTAGCAGTAGCACACTGGAAGGGCTCTACAATCAAGTCCCCTCATTGATCTCTGTATCAGTGGCAGCTGTGAGCCTGGCACCTGAACTTTATGCTTTATATTTAAACAGTGACTTTCAAGCTTTCTGGACATGATTACAATAAGGAACTAACTGTAACACACAACCCAATGCACTGCCCTCCACATGCACACACCTTTAGAAGAAACATCTCAGCAAACCACAACCCCTATTCTGTTATGATCTTCATGTTTTCTACTCTATTCTACTAAAGGGACAAACTGATTCATGATTCACTAATAGGTTGGACTACTACTGTGTGAGTTCCAGGACAGCCAAGGCTACATAGAAAAAAAAAACAGTCTCAAAAAAAACCATAAATAAAAACAAAACAAACAAAAAACAGGAAAAAACAAAGAAACTCTCATCTAAAATTATATTATTTCTTATTGCTCCATCTGGGTACAAAATGACCAAACAATCAAGGAAATCAATGCCTGAACTTTGCCATTTGCCATATTTTGTTATGTTGATAAATTCTGCTTTCTGTAGTCTTGCCATGCTTTGCACACAGATACATGACTCTGGATTCCCCCATCAGATTACTGCAGTTCTTACAAAGCCATATCATTTACCCAAACTTATGCTGAGCTACACGCAATTTGTAAGAATTTCTGGGGTTTGAAAAGCAATGATCAAACAAGAAGTATTTCGACTGAAATAGAAAATGACACCTAAAAGCCATGCACACTGTACTGGGCTGAGACAATCAAGTTAATGGTTGGGGTGGACTCTGTGTGGGCTATAAAAGCTCCAGTTCAATTTAAAGTTTAAGTCCTGACTTGAACAGATTGAGTGGTGAAGATGGTAATGACTCAGAAGGCAAGAGAGGGCCAAAGGGGCGGTCTGAATAGAACACCCATTCACAGTCCATTCATCCCATGGCTGGCCTTGCAGCCCAGCTGTCTTGGCCTTCAGACACCATTTCTTGCATTCAACATTAAGTTTCTTTTAGACTTCAAATAGTGAAAGCAATCACTGAGATAATCCACACTAGTTTAACAGTTTCACAAATATTCACAAAGTGGTGCTGCTCATGCAGGAGCTCTTTTATTGTTAAATACAATCACAGTTACATTATGCTGCCAGGAAGTCTTCTGGGCACACTTTCGAATCCCCACTGTGGCAGTTTGGAAACTTTTGTTCACCTCCTGTCTCATAGGAATAATTGCCCCCTTTCCTTTCTAAACTCTGCCTCACAGGATCCAAAAGAACCCGGTCTTTCTCTAGTATTAACAGGGAGAGAATTTTTACTTTCCTCTGTCCACAGATACATTCATTCTCCTTTCTTACACATTAAAGGGTAAAATTTTCTTTCCCAGATATGGTTGCTACTCGTATTTCCTTCTCCTTCCTTTCCTCTGACCTCCCCCCTTTTTTTTCTTTACAAACTACTCTCCCGTTAAACTCCTGCAAATTAACCTATGTCTTCTCATAAATATTCAAGAAGTTAAACCAGGCACTGGATAAACTGGGCATATGAAGATAAGGTGAAGCTTCTCCTCCCTGCCCTTCTCTTCTGACTATGTCCCCAAAGGAAATCATTTTCTGACTTCCTTACTCTCTCAACAGAGTGCCACCCTTCCCATTACTCAAACTTGAGAAGCAAAGTGAACACATTCTTGTCCCCACCCTTTCAGAACAAATTGCTGCTCAAGTCTGTGGAGTCTCTTGTTCCACTCCTTCCAACCCAGGTCCTTGTCAAGTGCCTGGGTTTCTCTAGCCCAGGTCTTTGGTTTTCCTATTTGTTTTACCTGAAGGTATTTTCATTTTATCACCATTTCCTTCTGAACCTTAGCACATCTCTGTTACTTCCTGGAGCCCAGGCTCTCCATGCTAGCACTAGCCTTCACCAGATGATCCCACATCTCATCCCTAGCTCCATCTCAAACACCTTGAAATGTTGGAAGCTTTCCCTCTTCTGTATTTAGGGCTGGCTCTTTTCAGCAGCCTGAAATCCCACTTTTTCCACTTTCCTGACCCACTAGAAATTCAATTCATCCTTTAAGGTTCAATGCCTAGTAGCTATCAAATCCACACAGACTCTTCCAACCTCCTTCCTGAGAGCCACCCCCCTCCCGCGTGAATTTCCTCTGTATTCCTCTTGCACAACTGAACGTAAACGGCCCTATATTGGAGCCACCCATATCTGCCATGCCATTTTCACTAGACCACAAGTGTCATTCATTCTGCATTATTTCTCAACTTCCTTGGTTTTTCCCTGATGCAACCCCTACACCAGAATTCTAAAATGAACTCAATTTAGGAAAGCAGTAGTAATAGTGGATCTGTTTATTGCATTGCTTTAGTGACTGATTTACACATTTTAAAGGATTCATTTTAGTGGTTAAAAGTTGTAAATGAGAATGAAGTTTTCCAAAATCTTTGTATGAGAAATTCAGTTGAAGTTTTCCCCTAGTGTATAACATTACTAACATCCTAAGGAAAGAAACAACAATTTCCAGCATAGACATGAAAAACAATCCATATACCACAACCTTTAGTATCAAATTCTCTGTAGATGCCTCCCTTCAATGGAAGACATAGGATTCTAGACATAGGACAGAAAGATCTATTCCCTTCATTTTCATAGACTCATTTCCCCCATTACTTCTAATGAAACAGTCTAATTAAAATCCTGTCATTATAAGAGCCCCATATGTGGTCTGGGGTGTAGCTCAGTGGTAGACTGCCTGCTTAGCTGTGTTCCATCCTCAGCCAGCACTTCCCCAAACAAAGCAAAAAATTTCCTGTACAGAAGCCACTACACTGAGGCTAGAGAGATAAAGGGTGATGCCTGCCCTGATAAGCTCATAGAATAATGGACAGGAAGGGCTGGTAAAGAAAATTACAACATAATTATCACATAAGGAAGCTATGGTATGTACTCCAACAGAGGGACCTAACAATGAAACAGAAAATGACTTCTTGAGGGGACCACACATGGCATGGGGCAGCAATTCAGACTGAGCAAGACACTAAAGGATGACTGCAGGATAGGCATTAGAGAGACAAGTGGATTTTAAGTTAAGGTGATAAAATCTTCAATCTAAGAAACAGTAGTGTAGGCCTGAGGGCTACAGGCATGGTTAGAGTATAGGGTATGAATCATGAAGAGAAAGTTGATGCCTCAAGATTTTGAAGGAAGACAGAATAGGGCTTCAGCTTTCTCAAACCTGCTTGTGAGCCATTCCTTAAATTTCTAATAATACAGAAATAGATACGCAAAATACAACATGTTCCTTGGCTAAAAAAAACAAACAAAAAACAATTTCAGCCTCACATTCATGATAGTTTATAAATATTTAGTCCTATAAAATATTTATCCTAATAAAGTTAAAAACATTTATATAGAAATATTTCAGAAATTTTATTTGGTCAGAAATATAGGAAAGTTTGGTAGAATTACTCTCAAAGCACATTATAGTTTCATCTGCATTAACATAAGAGCACTCATTAGATCCTCCTGATGGTGTCTCCCTTCTACCGGGTGAGTATTTCCTATGACTCAAGAAAAAAAAACTGCTGGTAATGAGATCCAGAGAAAAAAGTCTTATCTCACTAGGAGAAAAAACCTCACATCTTTATTGCAAAATAACAAAAAAAAAAAAAAAAACAAAAAACAAACCGCCATGACAACAAATGAAATACCACAAAAAAAAGAAATAGAGGAAAACAATATAAGACAGTTTTGTGATATGACTCCTCTTCCTCACACTGTTCAGTCTGCTTCATAGTTATTTTCTACATACAACAAAACTGTTTTGGGCTGGGGATGTAGCTCAATTTGGAGAGTGATACCATAACTCAATTCCACATAAACCAGACAAAGTAACACCAACACTGGGGAGGTAGAGGCAAGAGGATTAGAAATTCAAAGTCATTCTCAGGTATATGGTAAGTTTTAGGCCAGCATGAGCTACATAAGACCTCATTTTAAAATAATAGCTAATTAATAGAACTATTTATACGTTTTAAAAGAATTATCTCCCCTCAATGAGTGTTCACCTCTAAGTTTGTTGAGATTGAAGTAGAGGAGGAAGATAGGGATAAGAGGATGCCAACTAAAGTAGGCCAGTAAGAAAAAGAAGTTGGGCCTGGTGGCAGACACTTGTCATTCAAGCACTCAGGAAGTCCAGGTAATATGATCATGAGTTTCAGGTTAGCCTAGGCAAATGCAGGTCATGCCAGTAGAGTACTCACTTGGCATGCATAAGGCCCTGGGTTCCATCCAAGCATCACATAAACCACCCATGGTGGTACATGCTGGTAATCCCAGTTGAGGTGGAGGCAGGAGTATCAGAAGTTCAAGGTAATTCTTGGCTGCATAGAGAGTTTGTGGCCAGCCTGAGATACATGATACTGTCTCATGGGAGGGAGGGGGAAACAGATGGGTGAGTGGAGGGAGGAACAGAGGCAGAGGCAGAGACAGAGAGATAGACAGAGGAGGAATGAGAGAGAGGGAAAGAGAGAGGTGAAGTGACAGAGAAGTATGTATTTGTTTAAATGGTCTGAAGATCAGTGGATCTGTTCCTGTTTTGAAATGGTGTCCTAAAAGTCTGGCTCTGCTTGTTAGCACCAAAGTGAAGAGCGATGAATTCTGGGAAAAGACCTAACAGTACTGTTCTAACCAATTTTATCTTCTTAAAAACTAGGTTTTAAAGGGCATACCCATGGCTGGAAAGCACAAGAAGACCCCAGCCTCATGCATACTAGCAGGGAGAAGAACCTTCCAGAACTGAGTAAATCATTAGAAAATACAAAACAGTGAATCCAAGAAAGAGAAGTCCAATTCCCAGGCAGTTTTCACAGAGGAGATGCTTCAGAGCATGCTGAAGCCCTGGACTTTACCAGACTGTGTGCCAGAGGAAAGGCATATCTTGTGAGGATCTCAAACATATCTCTTCTGCTGTGGCCTTCCTGCTTCAATGCAAACCTCAGGTTTCTCAAATCCTAGAGGCAAAGGAGAAAGCAGAGTTGAGTCTTCAAGGAAAATCATAATTAGCAAAAAAATCTCTTCAATTGAGAGAGAAGATTCACTAACACATAAGGGTGATTTATCTAGACTACTAACAAAATTACATTTTCCTATGATATCTTGACTTATGCAGCTTAAGAAATCTGGAGGCAGTCCCACTGTAGCCTAGAAAGTAAAGAACCACTTCACCAGAAACTAGGCTGTTTCTAAACCAAAGTGCTGAAGACAGCAAAAACACATACTAGAAAAAATCCAACTATGCCTTGCTCTTCATCTGTGCACTTTCTACCCTAATGTTCACTGCTTTGCAAGGAATTTTAATTATTAAACAGTATTTAAGTCATATAAAGTTTCAAGAGTACCTGCTATCAAATATAATCTCAATATTGTTAATGTGTCATTAAAATACAAATACCCTCTCCATAAATGATTGGCATTTTATGTTCTCATACAAGTAATATAAGTAATAAACTTTTACTATTCAATTCTACTTTCACAGAGTTCTATATACGCCACATTAATGTCTTACAATTAGATATCACTTTACTCTCAGGAACTATAAATTAATGATCAAAACCAAATTTTAATGCCAGCTCTCCACACACATCTCTTTAATAGTCAAGAAAGACTTTTAAGCTGAATCTAAATGATATAAGGTGTGGAGGCACTGATAATGATTCATGGGACTAGGCTCAAATATAGGTTAAATATAATTTATTTTGGGGAGAGGTCACTTACACAAGAAGCAGGTTCCTGCTCTTAAGGATCCCCACAGGCTGCTCCCTGTGACCCGACTAGACACAAGAGAGAGCCACCTGCCTGAACCCCAGACCTAAAAGTCACTCCCCTTCACATAATCAGCACCTATGACCAGGCCCAAATGGGCAAGGTCAGCGCTACAGGTGTGGATGGGGTGGATATCTCACTACAATAAGGTCCTCTAATATCTGTTTGCATTAAGCATAGTATTGTATTTTATTTTTAAGAATGAATGTTTTATAGGTTATCTTTCTTTAAAACAATCAATCATGGACTCTGGAACTATCTAAGGAGTGAGCTAGACCCAGCCCTGCCATCTTATATACTACAACACTCATATTTTGCAAAGGGAAATTTTTGTTTATTTTATCAGTTATACTTTTCAAAAAGACTCATTCTATTTTCATTTATGTATATGTGTACATGTATGCAGGTACCTGCAAAGACCAGAAGAGAGTATTAGAGCCCTGGGAGTTACAGGTGGTTGTAGGAAGCCCACTGTATATCCTAAGAACTGAGCTTATCCTCTACAAGAGCAGCAAGCACTTATGACAGTTCAGCCATCTTTCAAGCCCAGGAATAAATTTAAGTTTCACAATTCTTCAGTCTGAAGGGCCAGAGAAGGCTTTGCCATATACATTCCAAAAAGCAAGTAAAGTATGAAGAAGACTCAAGACACCAATTAATAATCTGAATTCAATCATTCTGAATTCAGATAGCAGCCACTGAACCTTGCCAGCTCTAGGATCTTATGCTTTCTTCTATGTTTCTTTTTATTTGTATAGCACTGGTGATGGAATCTAGGGTTTCATGAATACCAGGCAAACACTTTATCACCCAGCTACATTTCAGGCCCATACTAAAAGTGTGTTACTGAAAAAGGTTAAAACAACAATTTACATAATATCCTCAGAAATCTTGGAGTATGGGGTATTAGTTGTTAGTTCATGATAATCACATGAAAGGAAAAGTCATTTCAATAGGACATGGTACATCCAACAGGTTTCTAAACAGCCACAGGTATAACAATGTATAGCTGCAAACTGTCAGGCCACAAGGACCTCTAAGGAAATTTCCTTCAACAGCCACAGAGCACTGGTAACACTACAACATCATTCTCTTAACCACTTTGCTCCAAATTAGACCATTTCCAAATCAATATTTATTGTAGTCACTCAGTGACTCTGAGGAATACTTTTTACGTGTCAAAGAACGAATGACTCAAGTCACTTTCTGTCATCTGATTCAGATGCAATTACAATAAAAATCATTCTTGCCAACAAGAAAAGTAAAATGAACAAGGCATATGATTCACAGGCAGCAGATCACCTAGTCTGGAACATAAATAGGAGCACACACTAACTGTAAGTTGTACCTGGTCTCCTCCAGCTTGACTCATTAGGGTAACTAGGAAAGAGCCTAGTAGTGTAAGAGTCTCCCTGTTAGATTTAACGTGTTTACCATCTGGATCTTATGGTGATACTCAATGATTTAATTATTATTAAAGAAAACATGTGACTGTCTATCTAATATACTATACAGTCTTTTTTGTTGTTTTGAGAGACAGGGTTTCTCTATGTAGCTTCGGAGCCCATCCTGGCACTCGCTCTGTAGACCAGGCTGGCCTCGAACTCACAGAGATCCGCCTGCCTCTGCCTCCTGAGTGCCGGGATTAAAGGCGTGACCCACCAATACCCAGCTACTATGCTGTCTTTAAACCAAGTAAGGAGAAATGGGAGAAAAAAGCAAGAAGACTCTATAGAAGTATTGTTTCCCCTGCCTTGTTACAAAAAGACTTTACATTTGTTATCAGTGGTGGTCCAGGGCCTGCAGGGTAGTAATTCTCATATTCACAACTACTTACTTCCCTAGGGTCCTTAGGAACCACGAGCCACTCTATGCTTGTTGCTACTGATGAGTGAAACAAACCCACATGTACACGGCTAAAACAAGCAAGTGTAGGGGTTGGTGAGAGAAATGCAGTAGCATCATGACTACTAACTACAGGTGCGAGATGAGCTCTGAAACAGGATGGCAAGTGCTTATCCCACCGCTGCACACTTATGTAAATGTCAGCTCTGCTACAAAGAAAATGGAGTGTGCCTCTGTGACACCAGTGTTTCTCAGGAGGTAATTTTCTTAAAAGGTTGTGCTACAGCTGGGCTAAGTGGCATATGCCTGTAATCTCAGCACCTTGGAAGAAGATCAAGAGTTCAAGGCTAGCCTTGGCTGCATAGGGGTTCAAAACCAGCTTGAGTGACATAAGACCCTGCCTTTAAAATTGTTGTTTTATTATACTTCTCTAAGGCCTCATCCATTTGAGGCACAGGTCAATTAAAAAAAATGATGTGTGAAACATCTGACAATTTTTTCTTGACAAACTGTTCCTTGTGGTGATATTTTGTTTATGATATAACAAATAAAGCTTGCCTGAAGATCAGAGTGCAAAGCTAGCCACACTAGTCAGCCATAGAGGTTAGGCAGTGGTGGTGCACACCTTTAATCCCAGCACTTGGAAGACAGAGGCAGAGTGATCTCTGTCAATTCAAGGCCACCCTGAGTTACACGAAATTGATCCAGTCTAAAAGAGAAACAGAGTTCATACAAAGGTAACCTCAGCCCTTGGGATCCAATGCCTTTAATCCCAGCACTAGAGAGGAATATCAGGCAGGAGGAGACAGAAGCACTCCAGTCTGAGGTTTGATGGAGAAAGATGAAGTCTGAGGCAGTCTGAGGAGCAGTGCAGTCTGAGGACAAGATCATTCCTTTGGTCTGAGCATTGGGAGAGGCTGGCCACTTTGCTTTTCTGATTTTCAGCTTTAATCCCAGTATCTGTCTCCAGTTTTTATTAAGAACAATTAGAATTTGTGCGGCAGTTCCAAAGTTAAGAGTGTACTTTGTCTTACTCTTTTGGTAGGGTTAATAGTTAATTATGAGTTTTCTTGTTGAAGCAAGTACCTTATTGGGAAAGCAGTCACTTCAATATCATCAAATTACCCAACCACACTGCCTTGAGTGTTAAGTATAACACCTCTTCCCATGAATCATTTAGATAAAAAATGCAAAGACCCTTCTTCGAAGTTAACCTCCGTACTTCCAGGCGTCACATGGTAGCCAGTAGCTGTGATGGCAAACAGAACATGAAAACAGCTCAGATTCCAACAGAAACAAAAGCAGCTGAGGTGTGGTGCAGTAGAGAATCTCAGGGTAAGAGTAATCCTTTGGATTTTGGTTGCTAATATTCATATTGATCTTTTGCAAACTGGAGAGGAAAGTCATGTATTGAATTCCCAATGCAAACAAAGTATAAGAGTTTAACTTTTAGAAATTACAGTACCAGAGACTAGGAAATGACTTAGGTTTTAAAACAGGTTCTTTCATTGATCCTCATCAAAACCAAGGCAACTCATGTGACTTTGTGAAGGGGTTACTTCCCTATCATACAGAATTGGCTCCGGGTAGTCAAGGCTCAGCACCTTCAGCCAGGCCACTTTCTATAGTCCTTAAGACAAGAACATTATTATATAAAACATACAGGGGAATACGCAACAGATATCCCATGTAACTCTACACAGGCTAAAATATTTGCTATTTGGACATTTTTCTAGAAGAAGGGTGATGACCCCTGCACTAGCAAAATGTCTGACAGCCATCTGGGACACTTTGTGAGTCTTATTTGCCCTTTAGAATCAGCTCTACATTTCTCAAAAACTTTCTGGATATCTTAATGTGCACATTTAAGATCTACTGGGACAGATGGTCTCCATCTAGATTCCTTCTGGCTCTTTCTAGAATGGAGCACAACATTATAGATGATGGTCTTCTGATACTCAGTACATGGAAATCAGGTTTCCTTGCTAGAAAACTTAACTATTGTTCAGAAAAATGTTACCTCTGTCTATTTGGTTCAGCTTTGATACTCAGTGGACCATAGCAGCAAAGCTCCCTAATTCTTCTGAAATTCTCCATTTATACATCTGTCTGGGAGGGTTGTGCTGAGGAAAAAAATGTCAAGTTCCCAGTATGTGCTTGGGTGAACACAGATGCTCAATACTTTTTTGATGGAACAACTGGCTAAACCTTATCACAAGTAATTTTCCCCACTTACCATCCCCAAATAAAGTATTATTATCCACTACCACCAAAAATGGTTGTTATAGGTAAGGAGGCATCCTGCTCACAAAGGGCAAAATCTCTTCTATGCCTCCTTCCTTTCATGGTATGAAGGTGTCTAGGTGGTGATACATGGTGCCATAAAGAGCCATGAAAGCAGGTACTTTATACCTCAATCATCTTACTCCTGAGAACTTAAAACTATCATTTAAAAGGAAGAAAAAATGATACATATGAGGTTGGTCAATGGGGCCAGGAGTAGCTGGGAGGACAATGTCAATCAACTCTAACTCCATAGGACGGGCATATGATTATGAAAACTATAGTACCTTGACCAGCTAAGAAGGAGTAGAGTGAAATTGAGGTTTAAAAAATGTTATCTACGAACATGAGGGATCAGGAAGATCGAGTTGGAGAAAGAATAGAGAAGGAGAGCAAGAAGAGAGATACCGTAATAGAGGGAGCCAGTATAGGTTTAAAGAGAATTCTGGCACTAGGGAAATGTCCAGAGATCTACACGGATGACCCCAACTAAGAATCTAAGCAATAGCAGAGAGGCTACCTTAAATGCCCTGTCCTCTATAATGAACCGTGCTGGGAAAACCCACAGAAACAGCTGACCTGAGCAAGTAGGAGCTCAGACACCAGACAGACAGCTGGGGAACCAGCATAAGACCAAACCAGGCCCCCTGAACGTAGGTGTCAGTTGGGAGGCCTGGGCAGTCTATGGGGCCTCTGGCAGTGAAACCAGTATTTATCCCTAGTACACAAATAGACTTTGGGAGCCCGTTCCCTATGGAGGGATACTCTCTCAGCCTAAATACAAATGGGGGGGGGCTTTGTCTTGCCCCAAATGACGCTACAGACTTTTATGATCCCCCATGGGAGGCCTCACCCTCCCTGGGGACTGGATGGGGGATGGAATGGGGAGTTGGTGGGGGGCATGGAAGGATGGGAGGGAGAGGGAACTGGAATTGGTATATAAAATAATGTCTTTAATTTAAATAAACATTTATTTTTTAAAATGTTATCTATAAACTTTTTCTGCCCTATGAATCTAATAAGCTGACCACTTCTTTGAAGAAGCCTTACTCTTGACTACAGGATGTCCCTTGTGTGGGAACTCTTTCCCCAGGCACTTTTTGAGATCTCAACTCACAAGGGAAGACCCAAGCCTAGAACTTGAGATTAGCGAGAGATTTTGAGAATTTTAACTGAGAGATCCACCTGCATCTGCCTCCCAATTCTGGGATTAAAGGTATGTACCATCACCCCCAGAAATGATTTTTAAGACCACATTAGTTTTCTACTATTCAATATTAATTTGTCTTTGTGTTGTATAAGAAAGTACCAAATCTCTTACTTTACAAGTAATATCTAGACCATAGGAATTTTCTCCTCTACTTGTCGCGCCTCCCATTTTTTCAACTAATGATATCACACCCAGAGGAACATCAAGTATTAGAGCAGAATCCTGTAATGGACAAAATTACAAAAGTCAGCATTTCTGTGAGTATAACAAAAACATCAGAAACATGTAAAAATAATTACAAGCTTGCAATTTTTTAACCTTTAGTACATTAGTCTCTTAAGAGTAAAAGTAGGATATAGATCACACATGAAAGAGCAATTACAATAGGCAAGTATGCCATCAAAATGCATCCTCAACCATTTGGCATTGCCTATAATTCCAGAGGCCTGGGACGTCACTCACAGTTAGTTTCTATAGGTCCTCTCCTACATTGCTCTGACCTCCAGCTAAGACAAATCTTTTCCTATTTTTCAGTCACTTTCTCTACAGTAAGGACCAAGCACTGTGCTAAAAATGCCCCAGTAGTCTATAACAATCCATCTTTCCCAACTACTAAAGTTTTTCTGATATGTAGTTCTGTATCTACAAGCCTCGTTTTTTCTAATTGGATCAATCCTAATCAGCAAGCTCCTCCTCTGAGGAAGCACCTAAGAGAGATCTCCATTGTATTTATTACCTGCTTCTTTGTCTTCTCACCGGGAATTTATTTCCTCACTACAACCCAAGCACTCGTTTCATGGGTTGATGGTTAAGCCAAAGACTGGAAATATACACCAAGAAGACCCATAAAAATATCCTGTCCTTTGATCCAATCATTGTACTCCTAAAGAATTTACAGCAATCATAAAACAAGAGAAAAAAACTATACAGATGAAGATGCTTAGTAGGGGAAGAGGTGGCTAGCAGTGAGGAGACAGAGTATCAGTCAGTTTAGTGGGACAGGTACTCAGCTATTAGGATAATTATGGTAACTGGCCAAATAAGGTAATGAACAACAGTTAAAAATACACTATGACTGAGGTAACAGAAAATGTGTAGTTAAATGGATAAAGGTACGAAGGGCCAAAGCTGCTAACATTTATTATCTCACAATTACACACACAGACACACACACACACAGACACACACAGACACACACACACACACTGATCATCCTGATCTCCTCTACTCTTCTTCCCTCACACCAAAAAACCGCTTCTTTTGAACAAGTCCCTTTCCTACTTCCACGTCAGTTTTTGTGAGTTCTGAACTTAGTAAGGGTTGATTGCATGAGTATAAATGTGTGGTAATTTATGGGACCATGGGTAACTTATCAGTGACTGTACCATTGAGAAATATGACTCTTCCTCTATTAGCAACCATTAACTGCCTATAGTTCCTCTTGGAGGGATAGGGCCAGAGTGTCTCCACCTTCCAATGGAATGCTGATGGGCTCAGTCTTGTGCAGGCTGCCTCTGCTATTGTGAATCCAAGGGCACCAAAGTCATGTTATACCCAGAAGACAGCATTTCGTAGCATTCCTTCCCATCAACTGACTCACATTTTTTATGACTCTCTTCTATGATGCTCTCTAAGCCTTGGAGCAGGTAATATAAATGCCCCATTTGGGGGACTGAGCATTCAACCTAAAATTTGCTGTAATGGTGTGTTAAGTGACTGATACTAAGGAAAAAACTAAAGGTAGACGGATGTTTATTCTTTGAAAATGATCTCCGGGGATACAAGGAAAAATAATGCATTCATTTTTAAATCCTCTCCTTAAAAAGAAGAAATAAAAAAGAAAAATAAAGAAACTGTTTTCTCAATATTATGTTAGGTCATGAGTTTTCTAGAAATTCAAATTATAAGTCTGTGGTTACATCTATACTGTGGAAACAAGTATATGTGTACCTGGAAAATCTTTAGGGCACCCTGCAATATAAGTAAAGCCAATCTCAAGATACAATGCTATGTGATTCTATTTATAAACCATTCTTTTTGTTTGAAACTTATTTGTAGTTCAGGCTAGCCTTGAACTTCTGATCCTTCTGCCCCATCCTGTTATTGCTGGGGCTACAGTCCTGTGCCAATAACTGAATATGTAATAGTCTTGAAAAGACAAGATAGGGATTGAGGACAGGGATGCAGTTGCTAGGAGATAAGGAGAGGAGAGAAGGAGTATGAAGGATTCTTTTGTGGTGTTCTAACAGTTTCATTATCTTCAATATTGATTGTGGTTACTTGGTAGCACATGCCATAGAATGTACAAAAAGACACTCACAAAACTGTCACCATTCAAGTACTGGCTAAGTGTACTATTTGTATTGTGCTGAGCACCGCCCACTCCCAGCCTCTTTTCCTTCTTTGAATGCATGTGTGTGTACATGTGTGGGCATGTGTGTATAAGCATGTGTATATATGCTTGTGTACGTGTGTGTGTGTGGGTGTGTGTGTGTGTGTGTGTGGGTGTGTAAGCCACGGGAATACATCAGGTATCCTGCTCTATCATTCGCCACCTTATTCCTAGAAGACAGGTTCTCATAAGTGAACTGAGTCTCTTGCCCTTGCAGCTCCAGGGTTATAGGTGTATGCACAGCCACATGTGGCTTTCTACATGGTACTGGGTGGGTGCTGGTATCCAAATTCAGGTCCTCATGTTTGCACAGCAAGTCATCTTAAGCTCTGAGCCATCTCTCCAGCCACTCAAGCTACCTTCTGGTTGATTAAACAATATAATTTCTGGAGTCAGCTGGGAGATTTGTGCATGAGACCTCTCTGTACTATTTGTACAAGATCATGTGTGTTTATGGTTAATTGTGAAATAAAAAGTAAAAAAAAAGGGGGGATGAGATGGGATGTCAGTAGGGGGCAGGGGAGGGAGAGGGAACTGGGATTGACATATAAAACAAGATAGTTTCTAATTTAAATTAAAAATCATAAAAAAGAAATAAGTTCAGTTACTATGTAAAGAAAACTAGAACAAACTCTTAACATGGTCAAAAACGGCTCAATCTGAGTTCTGACATTTATTAGCTGGAGGACTTGGACAAGTCAGTGTTATCTCTAGGTCACACTAATCTGGTGATGATTTAAGATAATGGATTTAAAGGACCTGGCACAGTGCCTACTGATGGTAGCCAGAATACAACAGGAGTTGTTATTGTTATCAATCTGATGGTGTTAACGTGCAGCTTAGCATTTGGAAGACATGACTGTACTCTGCACCCATAGTAGATGAGTATGTTCTGGCAGAGCTTTGTCTTTGCATCTATAAGGAGGCATGACTATCTGTTGTATGCATTCCTATGAAATACTATTCATTTTACAGCATGACTGGAAACAAAATGCCCATAGAGAAAACCCTGCCTTAGTAACACATAAATAGCTGTACATTATAATGCATTTCCTTCTTACTACAGTCTATCTTAGCATTACTATGCAGTGTGGCATATTCTTGGACTATGCCAAGATTTATGAGTGTCTGTAAACTGCATTCTTGAGTGTAAAACTGGCCCCTAAGTATATGCACTACATGCTACATAAAAGCCTGATACTCTTAATATTGACACAGAAGCGAGAAGTGTATTTGTTTTGAAGGCAAGAAGATTAAAAGTGAGAAAGAAAAAAAAAAACAGCATGATGGCTCAGTGGGTAAAGGGGCTTACTAACAAGCCTTAAGACCACAGTTTCATCTCAGGAATCCACATGGTGTAAAGAGAGAACCTGACTCCTGGAAGTGGTCCACAGGTGCTCCTCAAACCACAAAAAATAAAAGACTTAAGTTTTAAAAGTGACATGAGCTATTTGTTTGCTTATTTGAAATAGGGTCTCACTGGCCTGGAACCCACAATGTAGACCACAGTCTGCCATCAAACTCTTGTAATCCCCTTGCCTCTACCTCTCAAGTGCTGGGAGTATAGGTGTGAATTATCAGGCCCAGCTATGAGAGAGAACACTGCTCTTCTCTAATTGTTACATAGAGGAAATTCTGTATCTCAAACTTCCCTGGTCCAACAGAAAGCAGAAAATGAAGCAATGAGGAGAACCAGCCAGCTCCTCACCCAAAGCACCCACAGTCTAATGAAGATATTTGCCATGCTCTTCCTGAATGACATGGTCTAGGTCTGATAACTCAGCAGGCTAAACAGGAAAATCCATGAATAGTGATATTAGCCCAACTCCCAGGAAATCTGAGTCATCACTATCTAAATATCATTAAATATTGAATTTCAAAGGTCCATTGTAACTAAAAGAACATGTGCTTCTGTTCTTTGCAGTTTCTAAAATAGTTGAGAAGAAATATGCTATACCAGAAAAGATAATGCATTCATCCTCTCTCTTGTGAGGTAGAGCAGAAACCTGTACTGGGCACTAGGGTCTATGAAGGTAAGTTGCAGAGTTGCCCTTCTGGAACTTAGGGCTCATCTCCATCTGGGAGATAAGACACAGATACCCAAAAAGCAAGATGCCAGGTTGCCAGTGCCAAGAGCCATCAGAAGAGTTCACACAAAATGGAATGGGATGTCAGAGAAGGGCAAGCTGGTACCTGACTGTTATGATAAATCTTTCTGGCAAAAGCCGCCTGAGCCCCACCGCCACGTGTGAGCTTTACGCTAGCCACCTGTCTGAGTTAGGCCCAAATAAATACACAGAAACTTGTATTAGGTACAATGCTGCTTGGCCAATGACTAGGATTCTCAACTGTTAGCTCAGTCTCAATTATCATAAATCTATATTTTATAAGACTTATCTTATCGGACGCCTTATTGGCGTCCCTCCTTGTCGGTGGCTCACATCATGCTGCTGGAGCAGGAGCGGAGGGGAAAAGAAGCCACACTTGCTGTTTCTCCTTCGCTTAAATATGAGTCTCCTTGCTATGTCA